GAGCCTCAGCACTAGCTGGTTGAGGGGACTCCTCTCTATGTTCTCCTCTTGGCAATGGAGGGCTTTGTAATGGTAGGAGTTGGGATCACTGGTTTTTAGGTGGTTGTAGAATTTGACTGCTCTTTTTTGTATCCTAATTAAAAGGGGGAATTGGCCTAGCTCAGCTCGGCATCCATTGTTGGGGGTGTTCCTGTGGACTCTCAGGATGCCCTTGCATATCTCCGCATGTAGGGTTTCTATTGGGTGTTTGTCCCATTTATCAAAGTCTTGATTTCCAAGGGGACCCCACACTTCGCTACCATACAGTATGATTGGTTCTATTATTGAATTGAATATTTTGAGCCAGATTCTAACAGTTATATCTATATTTGAAGACTTTTTGATAGCATAGAAAGCCTTTCTTCCTTTGTCTCTGCGATCATTAATGGCCAGATTGAAATTTCCTGTTGAAGTAATTTTTAGTCCCAAATATGTGTAGCTGTGTGTGTGTTCTATTGTCAGTGGAGCCCAGTAAGAAGCGGTGTGGGGTTCCCCTGACCCCTGGGTCGTTTCTGGAAAACCATAATCCTGGTCTTTTCCAGATGAACTGTCAGGGCCCAGGTCTGACAGAAGGTCTCCAGATGAACTGTCAGGGCCCAGGTCTGACAGAAGGTCTCCAGATGAACTGTCAGGGCCCAGGTCTGACAGAAGCTTTGCAGATGATCCATTTGCTGTTGTAATGGCTCCTTAGATGGAGCTAGCAATATTAGATCATCTGCAAACAGGAGGCATTTAATTTGTGTGTCAGAGAGGGTGAGTCCAGGGATATCGGATTGTTCTAATGATTTAGCCAATTGATCAATATAAAGGTTAAATAGGGTGGGGCTGAGACTGCAGCCCTGTTTCACCCCTCTACTTTGGGGGAAGAAATCTGTTTCCATATTGCCAATTTTCACAGCACATTTATTATTTGTATACATTTGTTTTAATGATATCATATGTCTTTCCCCCCTAACACCGTGTTCAATCGATTCAGGAGACAGACACGTTCTGCCAACTTGAGTCGAATGACTTTTTTGAAAGTCTACACAAAACAAGAGACAAATCTCTTCTTATTTGTGTGGTGGACATGTTTATGAATGAGGGTGAGTGGAGGGTATATATATGGGCTGGGTAGTCCGATGGTGTAAATCCAATCGACTCTTGCTCAGGACATGTATGTTCACTGAGGAGAGTCTTGCAGTCGGCTGTTTAGGATGCTGCAGAATCACTTCCCCAGGTTGCTGCTGACACACTATGCCTCGGTAATTGTTTGGGTCAAATTTATTTCCATTTTTAAATATTGGTGTGATGATTCCTTTTGCTCCAGATGTCAGGGAAATGTCCAATGCTCAGAACCAGGTTGAATAGTTTCAACATGGCAGTGTTGAACTTATGGCTGCTAAATTTCAGCATTTCATTTAAATGCCATCAGGACCGCTGGCCCTTCCTTGGTTGTAGGGCCTGGTTTTAGCCAGGGAGCTCTTCCTCAGTAATGTCATAGTCTAAAGGGTTCTGGTTGTCTTTAACGACTGATTCTAGAATTGTAGTTTGTTGAGGAGATCCATTTTGGGCCGAATTCAGTGTGTAACGCTACTATACAGGTTTTCAAAGTGTGTTTTCCAAATGTCCCCATTTTGAATAGCCAGTTCTTCCTTGTGTGGTTTGCTGAAAGAGTGCCATCTCTTCCAGAAATGATTTGAGTCAATGGACTCTTCAATGATTTCAAGTTGGTGCTGCGCATGTTGCTCCCTTTTAGTTCTGAGTGTTCTTCTGTATAGTTTCAGTGTTTCCCAATATTGGAGGCGGAGCTCAGGATTGTCAGGTTGTCTGTGTTTTTGATTTGATAAACGTCTGAGGGTTTTTCTCAGATGTCTGCAGTCTGTATCAAACCACTTTTCATTGGCTGACTTTTTTGATTTATGATATTGTGGTTTTTTCAGATTGGATAAATCTGCCACATTGTCAAAGATGCTGTTAATGTCCCATACAGCCTGATTCAGGCCATCATTACTGTGGGGATACAGGGTGGGCTGTTAATGTCCCATACAGCCTGATTCAGGCCATCATTACTGTGGGGATATGGGGTGGATAGAAAATGGTCTAATTGGGATTGAATTGTTTGATGTCTGATTGCTTTCTGGTAGTCGTCCTTGCTATTGTTTGTCCATCTATAAGGTTGTTTTGTATAGTTCAGTTTACTGGGTTCTGCTGCGTGAGGGTCTGTTACTGTCTTTTTAATGTAGAGTGTAATTTTACTATGATCAGATAAGGGTGTTAGGGGGCTGACTGTGAATGCCCTCAGACAGAAGGGGTCGAGGTCTGTGATGCTATAATCTACTGAGCTATTGCCAAGAAGAGAGCTGTGTGTGTAGTGACCAAAGGAGTCCCCTCGAAGCCGACCGTTCCAAATGTACAGGCCCTGCGTTCGGCACAGCTGCATAGTTGCTGCCCCGCTCTCCTCTCTCTCTCTCTCTCTCTA